TTATCAACAATATCCATGCCCAAACGATCTTGTGCTAGTACTACCAGTTGAATCCTTTAACGATCTTTACTAAATCGTGTATCGAGGAGGATTGCACACGCAAGGCAGGCAATTCGCGGTAATGCAGAAGGCGAGTGTTGGTCATGGCGAGGTGTATAGGCAGCACGGCCTTGTCGTGCTCATTGTCACATGCTGAACTCATGCCGACGCGTACTGAGCTCATTGTGCTGCCTCAAGGTGAAGGGCATACTCTGTTTATGCTGGGAGTGAGGGCGTGGGCCCCAAGGTGACATGGGAGGATCAGCAGAACACACGGTGGCAGACTATGCTTTGTTATTAATGCGGTTCACTGTGGTTGACTGTGGTTCCATACATCTCTGATTGCGCAGGGCGAGGGTGCGGATCCCGAGGTGACATGGGAGGACCATCAGAACACATCGTAGCATACAGTGTTTTAATGTGGTTGAATGCGGTTCATTACATCTCCCATTGCGCAGGGCGAGGGCGCGGAGGTGACATGGGAGGACCAGCAGAGCACACGGGGGAAGCACATTGGCAGGCTTCCCTGCGGTTTTAATGTGACTGCTTGTTTCTAACCATGAATCGTCTGGCAGGGCGAAGGCGCAGACCCCGAGGTGACATGGGAGGACCAGCAGAACATCAACAAGTTCGGGCGCCTCAACAACCGCCTGCACGAACTGGACGACGAGATCAAAGCCAAGAAGGTGAGTGGAGCACCTATGACTAGCTCTAGCTTTCCATGACTAGCTTCTTTAGGCTGTGTGCGATGTCACTCGCACCGGAGCCTACGGCTCAACAACCGCCTGCACGAACTGGACGACGAGATCAAGGCCAAGAAGGTGAGTGGTTCGAGGCTAGGAGGTAAGAGGACTAGCTTTTCGTGTCTGTGTGTCGTGTCACTTGCATTCGGCTCAACAATCACCTGCACGAGCTGGACAACGAGATCAAACCCAAGAAGGTGAGTGGAAAAAAGAAGGTGAGGGCACATAGTATGACTAGATATTCATGCCTGCGTGTCATGTCACTTGCACTGCAGCATTCGACTCAGCAGTAGACTGCAAGAGCAAGACGATGAGATCCGAGGCTAGAAGGTGAGGGGAGTCCGAGGCAAGAGGTGAGGGGAGTCCGAGGAAAGAGGTGAGGGGAGTCCGAGGCAAGAGGTGAGGGGAGTCTGAGGCAAGAGGTGAGGGTGTCAGAATCCCAGCCACTAACCACTGGGATAAAAGGGCTTGTTTGTATGGCGGGTAAGTGCGCCCATAACCCCCCAGGCCGACGTGCCTGTAACCCTTCCCTAGGATCATCGGGGATCTCCAGTGGACCTCTGACAGAGGGGAGTCCGAGGCAAGAGGTGAGGGGAGTCCGAGGCAAGAGGTGAGGGGAGTCCGAGGCAAGAGGTGAGGGGAGTCCGAGGCAAGAGGTGAGGGGAGTTTGAGACAAGAGGTGAGGGGAGTCCGAGGCAAGAGGTGAGGGGAGTCCGAGGCAAGAGGTGAGGGGAGTCCGAGGCAAGAGGTGAGGGGAGTCCGAGGCAAGAGGTGAGGGGAGTCCGAGGCAAGAGGTGAGGGGAGTCCAAGGCAAGAGGTGAGGGGAGTCCGAGGCAAGAGGTGAGGGGAGTCCGAGGCAAGAGGTGAGGGAAGTCCGAGGCAAGAGGTGAGGGGAGTCCGAGGCAAGAGGTGAGGGAAGTCCGAGGCAAGAGGTGAGGGGAGTCCGAGGCAAGAGGTGAGGGGAGTCCGAGGCAAGAGGTGAGGGGAGTCCGAGGCAAGAGGTGAGGGGAGTCCGAGGCAAGAGGTGAGGGGAGTTCGAGGCTAGAAGGTGAGGGGATTCCAAGGTAAGAGGTGACGGGAGTCCGAGGCTAGACGGTGAACGATGCGAGGCAGGAAGGTAAGAACAATAGTTGTTCATGTCTGTTTAGTGTGACTTGCAGTGCAGCATTCCACTCTCACCTCTTGCCTCGGACTACCCCTCACCTCCTTCACGAGCTGGGCGATGAGGTCCGAGGCAGGGAGGTGGGGGGAGTCCGAGGCTAGAATTTGAGTGGAGAGGCAAAGAAGGTGAGGGGAGAGGCAAAGCAGATGGGGGAATTCAAGCCAAAGAACATCACCTCCTTTGTGTGTCTCGCTTCAGTTCTCGCTTGCGTAGTGAATGCGGTGCACCATCATCACATGGAATGAGCTTCTCGCACTCTCCATGTTCTCTAAGTAGTCCTGCCAGGGAGCAGCGCATGCACAAGGTGGTGGGAGGTGAACACATGAGTTGAGTTCCCAATGCACGTCCCCCCCAATGTACTACCACACAGTGTAGTGGTCACACAGGATCAGCACGTTGCTCGCATCCTCTACATCCTCTATCTGCCACTATCTAGAGATCCCCAGCACGTTGCGGGGGAGGTGTTTCTGCACACGCGCGATCTTGTCCTCCCTCCCCCCCTTCTCCCTCCACGCTCCCTGGCAAACCTATCTATAGAACATAGAGGACGCCAGTAATGAGTTAACTGGCGGAGGACGTGTTTCTGCACACACACAGGGACGACGTCACCCGTGTATGGCATTACAGGGCTGAGGTGTTTCTGCACACAGAGAACGCGCATGTCCGACTTACATGCTTGTCTCGCCCCCACCTCCGCTCTGCTCCCTGGCAGGACTACCTGGAGAACATCGAGGATGCGAGTATTGAGTTGATCCTATGCGACGATGACACGGTGCAGTGCATGGCGGGGGAGGTATTTCTGCACACACACAGGGACAACGTGGAGGGAGGGGGGGGTTCCTGGCATTCATGTGCTGTGTTTGCTTCTCCCCACCTTGTGCGCTGCTCCCCCCCTTGGCAGGACTACTTGGAGAACATAGAGGATGCGAGTAATGAACTGATCCTCTGTGACGATGACACAGTGCGGTACATGGCGGGGGAGGTGTTCCTGGCACTCACGGTCTTGTCCCCTCCTCCACTTCCGTTCCACCCTTGTGTTCTTGGCCTTGTTCACACAGAGAGAGCACATGTGGGACTCACATGCTTGTCTCGTCCCCACCTCCACTCTCCCCCCTGGCAGGACTACCTGGAAAACATAGAGGACGCAAGCAATGAGTTAATCCTATGTGATGACGACACAGTGCGGTACATGGCGGGGGAGGTGTTTCTGCACACACACGATCTTGTCCTCCCTCTTCCCCCTCCCGCTCCAATCTCCCTGCCAGGACTACCTGGAAAACATAGAGGACGCGAGCAATGAACTCATCCTGTGTGACGACGACACGGTGCGGTACATGGCGGGGGAGGTGTTTCTGCCACCCATGTGCTGTGCTTGTTTCCCCCAACCTTATGCTCTGCCCTGTCCCCTGCCAGGACTACCTGGAGAACATTGAAGACGCCAGCAACGAGTTGATACTATGCGATGATGACACGGTGCGGTACATGGCGGGGGAGGTGTTTCTGGCATTCACGTTCTTGTTCCCCCCCTTTCCCACCCCTTCCTTTCCACCCTTGTGCCAGGACTACCTGGAGAACATTGAAGACGCCAGCAATGAACTCATCCTGTGTGATGACGACACGGTGCGGTACATGGCGGGGGAGGTGTTTCTGCACACACACAGGGACGACGTGGAGGGGCAGCTGGAGGCGCTGAGGGAGAAAACGAGCGGCGAGGTGGAGGTGCTGGAGGGGGAGAAGAGCAGCCTTTTGGCGCAGATGGGCGAGCTGAAGGTGGTGCTGTATGGGAAGTTCAAAGATGCGATTAACCTGGAGGAGGATTGATGAGAGGGAGGGGGAGGGGAGTTGGGGGGTGGGTAGGATGTATGTTGAAGGAGCATGGTTCTGGTTCAGATGGGTGCGCTGAAGGTGGTGCTGTACGGCAAGTTGGGGGGGGCAGGGGGGAGCGCACGAGTGGCGAGGCGAGGTGGCGGCACTGGAGGGGGAGACGAGCAGCCTGGTGGCGCAGATGGGCGAGCTGAAGGTGGTGCTGTATGGGAAGTTCAAAGATGCGATTAACCTGGAGGAGGACTGATGTGGGTTAGGGTGGAGGAATTAGGGAGTGTAGGTGCGAGGTGGAAGCACTGATAGGAGAGGAGAGGGGGAGGGGGAGGGGAGGGGGAGGGCAAGGGGGAGGGGGAGGGGACTGAGGGAGCGCACGAGTGGCGAGGTGGCGGCACTGGAAGGGGAGAAGAGCAGCCTCGTGGCCCAGATGGCTGAGTTGAAGGTGGTGCTGTGCGGTACGGCAAGTTCAAAGATGCTATAAAATCGGGGGGGTATGAATGCGCTTGCTTTGTTGTGTCAACGAGCCAAGTCACTCTCTGTGCTGCTGTATCTGTACTTTGGCTACATACAGACGAAGAGTAAGAAGAATGTACATCATGGCCCGTGATTAGCACAGCTCCAGGTGGCACGTCGAAAAGATTGTTGTGCCCCTCCCCTGTAGGGGGAGGGGGAGGGGGAGGTTGAGGGGGAGTTCTATAGTTCTACAGTCCTACAGGTGTAACCGCGTCACAGTTCTACAGCAAGTCGGGCCTTGTTGAGTAGTGAACAAAGCAACACGTCACACAATGTAGAATGGGTGCTGAGCTGATTTTCTCACATTCGCTCAACTTTAAATCAGTGTTGCTATTTATCTTGAATGTACATACAGTACTACGCTACTTGGAAGCTTGGAGAGAACCCCTTGTGAGAACCCCTTGGAAGTATCTCTTCCACCCAAAGCATACTCCGTCATGCAGGCTTCAGCCACTTTCCTCATTTGAGTGCCAACCGACGGCCGGCGTTTGCGCAATTGCCGACCGGCGGGCTTCGTTCTCTCAGCTTCGATTCGACTGGATCAGCATTTCCCATGCATGTCATCTCCTATCTGTGATCTTCTCTTCCCCTGCATGCGTTGGGCCAGCTGGGCCTCTTGATCTGGAATCACCACGGGCCACTGCATCCTTGAACATCTATAACTTCTCCCCACCCATAACCCACCCATCCCACACCCATCCCACACACACTGCTGCACCCAGTCATCTCCTCTTCCCCTGCATGCGTTGGGCCAGCTGCGCCTCTTGCTCCGGAATGACCACAGGCCACTGCAGCCCCGCATCCTTGAACATCTGCTCCGTCTCCATCTCCTCCGCTCGCTGCAGGATGGACTTGCGGATGCTCTGAGGAGAGAGGGAGGGAGGGAGGGAGGAAGATCACCGTGGGGTGAAAGGGAGAGAGGGTACACAATATATGTCTGAAACTGCAGCCCTAGCCCTGCAGCAGCACTGCAGCCCCGCATCCTTGAACATCTGCTCTGATGGAAGGGTGGGGGAGAGGGAGGGAGAGAGGGAGGGAGGGGGCGAGGTGTGGGGGAAGGAGGGCAGGAGGCAAGGGGGCAGAGGGGAGAGGGCAGAGGAGAGAGGGCAGAGGGCGGAGGGCAGAGGTCGTCAGAGGGCAGAGGGCAGGGGGATAAGCAACAACCAATCTCATAGTTAAGGGCTGGCTACCAAGGTACTCGCAGAGGATCGGCGACAAGACTAGGCTGAGAATTGGCTACCAAGGTACCACGACTGAGTTGAGTGAAACAGACGCGCAAAGGTTAGTGAGCTGAGTTGAGTTGCATCCTCTCCCATGATCCTATCCCATCCGATCCCATCCCATGACCATCCCATTACATCATCCGATCCCATCCCATGACCATCCCATCCCATCCGATCCCATCCCATGACCATCCCATCCCATCCGATCCCATCCCATGACCATCCCATTCCATCATCCGATCCCATCCCATCCCATCACATCCCATCCCATCCCATCACCATCCCATCCCATCCTTTTCATCCCATCCCATCATCCCATCCCATCATCCCATCCCAGTTCTCTGCCTCTTCTGCCGCTCTTTTGATTAAAGCATTTTATCAGCTTACAGCCGGTTAAAAAACCACCATCTAGGCGAATGTAACAAAAAGTGCAGTGCAGTGCAGTGATCGAGAAGCTCAGCGCGGGCAGACATGCACTGCAGACGGCAAAAGATATAAGCTCACCTGCGCAGTCAACTGAGTGCAGTCCATGGTCTCCTCTTGCCCGTTATTGAACGTGACCTATAGGGAGGGTACACACGGGTGGGGCATGACTGGATGGTTTAGTATTGGATGGGAGGAAAAGGTGTGTCAGGATGGAGGTGACAATGAAAACAATCTGGTTACAAAAACGTGTAACATTCACAGCTGGTGAATCCCTACTTCACAGCTGGTGAATCCCCACTTCACAGCTGGTGAATCCCTACTTCACAGCTGGTGAATCCCTACTTCACAGCTGGTGAATCCCTACTTCACAGCTGGTGAATCCCCACTTCACAGCTGGTGAATCCCTACTTCACAGCTGGTGAATCCCCACTTCACAGCTGGTGAATCCCTACTTCACAGCTGGTGAATCCCTACTTCACAGCTGGTGAATCCCTACTTCACAGCTGGTGAATCCCCACTTCACAGCTGGTGAATCCCCACTTCACAGCTGGTGAATCCCTACTTCACAGCTGGTGAATCCCTACTTCACAGCTGGTGAATCCCTACTTCACAGCTGGTGAATCCCTACTTCACAGCTGGTGAATCCCTACTTCACAGCTGGTGAATCCCTACTTCACAGCTGGTGAATCCCTACTTCACAGCTGGTGAATCCCTACTTCACAGCTGGTGAATCCCTACTTCACAGCTGGTGAATCCCTACTTCACAGCTGGTGAATCCCTACTTCACAGCTGGTGAATCCCTACTTCACAGCTGGTGAATCCCCACTTCACAGCTGGTGAATCCCCACTTCACAGCTGGTGAATCCCCACTTCACAGCTGGTGAATCCCTACTTCACAGCTGGTGAATCCCCACTTCACAGCTGGTGAATCCCTACTTCACAGCTGGTGAATCCCCACTTCACAGCTGGTGAATCCCTACTTCACAGCTGGTGAATCCCTGGTTTCCTGCCACGTATCTACACAATGGCACCAAACTGGTGTTTGCCCCGTGTGTCGGGATGGCGGGGACAGGGCAAACGCGGCTATGACGGTAGACAGGAAGGCTACGACTGCGGGGTCGAAAACTATTAACTCTAGTACGTAAGTGTAGACGGACGGCAGGAAGAGGGGACTAGTGGAGCATGGGAGAGGGAGCACGAGAGAGGGAGCACAAGAGGGGGGGAACGGGAGAGGGAGAACAGGAGAAGGAGAACGGGAGAGGGAGAACGGGAGAGGGAGAACGGGAGAGGGAGAACGGGAGGGGGAGCACGGGAGAGGGAGCACGGGAGAGGGAGAACGGGAGAGGGAGAAGGGGAGGGGGAGAACGGGAGGGGGAGCACGGGAGAGGGAGCACGGGAGAACACGGCGAATCACGGCGGAACACAGGTGGAAGAAAGGGGGAACAGGGGGAGCACGGAGGAACACGGGGGAAGACGGGGGATCAGGGGGAGCACGGCGGAGCACGGAGGAAGACGGGGGATCAGGGGAGCACGGCGGAACACGGGGGAAGACGGGAAAACGCGGGGAAAGACGGGAGAACACGAGGGAACAGGGGAAAACACAAGATATCAAAAGCGTGGAGGATGGGGAACATGCCGGGGGAGAGGACGATACCACGACGATAGCACGAAGCATCGAGGAACAGCCGCGATGTGAACATCTGTACGGAATTAGTGTTTTCACGCACCTGAACGAAGGGAGGATGGTCGTCGGTGCGTCGCTTCACGGCGACGTCGCATTTGGGGTTCGAGTCGCGCGCCTTCTGCGAGTTGCATTGCGCCAAAAACTCCAGCGCCGCCGCGTTGCGCCGATCGAAGGCGTTGAACTCGATGCGCACACGACTCAGATGCTTCAGCATGCTCGCGGCCTGCTCGTTCTAATCCGACGCGCTCGTTATTATCCGGCGTGCTCGTTAAAATCCGACGCGCTCGTTATAATCCGACGCGCTCGTTCGAATCCGACGCGCTCGTTTGAATTCGCAAGGATAGTTACCTAGTACCGACCGACCTAAGAATTGTAGCGGTGATAAGCAACGGTAGGAACGGTAGGGGTTAAGGAAGGACAAACAGCGGGGTGGGAGGACGAGAACACCTTCACTTGATGCTCCTTTGTCTCCAGTTTATACAGAACTCTTCGCTATTGATATGCGCAGTGATTTTCTTGGAGAATGTTAGGCTATATGTATAATATTAAGGTTACTCACAATGAATTCAAGAGGAAAACCAAATTCGTACGGCACTTTCTACATCTCGTGCAAGGGGATTTTTTAGACAACAAATACGGCACCACCCTTTATTAAAAACCAGCAAGCACTTCGTGAAATAACACCTCGCTGGCCATGTACTACATGAATACATTAAAAAGAAAGAGAAAGACCCTCTACACACACACGCACATGCAGACGCAGACGCACACGCACACGCACACGCACACGCACACACACGCACACGCACACGCACACGCACACGCACACACACACGCACGCGCGCACGCACGCACGCACGCACGCACACAAGGACCAGCTAATGTCTAGAGGAAAACGCAGCACGGGTCCATCCAAGAAGAGCTCAGGGTACTGACACCATGGTTCTAAACCAGGGCTTCATTGGACTTGCACCTGCGGAGAGGTGCTCACCCATAGGAGGCAGATACACACAGCTGCAAACAAGGATGCACCATATGGGAGGCATTTGAGATATTAAATAAAACAGCACCAGTTGGCAGTGCATTGCAGAAAAGCATGTTGACCACTACACCCCTAACATTAGAGAAGCTATGTATGTGCCCAAACTTACACCATCAATTCCGCGCCGGGAACTGCGGAAGGAGATCCAGGGATTGAGCCTGCAGAGGTCCACCATGGTGAGGTTATAGGATGCCGCCACCTTCTTGAAGTCCACCACTTTGCTGATCTCTATCTCTGTCACACAACTCGGCCTGGCCTTGGTTGGGTCGCGCTCCACACAGAGAGAACGGAACGCGGGGAGACTAGAAGGGCAGGTAATATTGGGGTTGAGCCGCAGCAGGTTTTCCTCAGTGATGTTGAGAAACTGAGTCACGGACGAGCATGTGTCGGCCTGTGGGAAGAAAAGGAAAGGGGAAGGGGGTTTGAGAAGGAAAGAGGTGGTCAGAAGGGACAAAGGAAGATACAGCAGCACACAGGAAGTGGAACGCTGAGAACACTAAGGTGCAAAAAGGACCCAGTAGCTCGCGGTGTTCCTGCTGCTTGGGCGAAGGATGGTCAAGGGAAGAGTGGAGGGTGAATAGGAAGCACGGCACATGCCAGCACATGGTGGCAATGGTATGCATACGTGTTGCATGGGATGCTCCCACAGCAGAAGCACCATGTCAGACTCACCGGCCGGACGTAGTAGAAGGCAGAGCAAGCTGGCAGAAGCTCTTTCACCACGAGCTCGCTACCCTGAGGAAGGAGAGCGGAGCAGTCGACACCCTGGAGGGGAAGGGAGTGAGAGAGGGAGAGAGTGAGGGAGAGGAAGACAGTGGAGCAGAGGGAGAGAGATTGAAGATGAGAGAGGAAGAGGTGTGAGAGAACAAAGGTGAGCGAGAGGTGAGGTAGAAAGAGAGGGAGAGAGTGAGCGAGGAAAACGGTAAGTGAGAGGTGAGGTAGAAATAGAGGGAGAGGGTGAGAGCAAGAGAGGGTGAGACAGGAAGAGAGGGCGAAGGAGGGTGGAAGGGAGATATAGCACAGAAACAAGAAGGGCTTGGCATGTTCATTAAAAGCACACAGGCTTGCGGGAATTGAGATGGCTCGGAGGAGCATGTGGCAGGGCTCACCAGGTTCAAGTCGGTGAACTGCTGCAGCGTGAGGCCATACATGGTGTACACGTCCTCGCAGCTCCAGTCGCTGCCCACGACTGTGATGGACGAAATGGGCTCCCAATCCGCACCTGCACACGCTCCACACGGAAATTAATAATGCCACGTACACGATCAACCACTGATGATATGAGTTTGCCATAGTCGGTCAAATTAGTAAATTTGATCCGGGAAACACACAGCTTGAATTTCCATGTGTAAAGTGCTCGCAGTATCCACTATTGGGTGAAGCGTTGCCAGCAGAGAGCGAGCTCACCACATTTGTTGTAACCATGAGGGCTTACCACAGCTATGGCAATAATCGCCCCCACAGTCGTAAACAATCGCGCGGTGGTTAGGCCGACAAACGCAGGTCCGGTTGGCGCCACGGTCGATGCACGTGCCCCCCATGCACGGGTTGACTCTGTCGTAGCCACATTCGCTTGCTGAAGGGGGGAAACACACAAGGAGCAGAGGATGGCAGGCACTGGAGTGGCAAGGAGGATACAATTGGGGGATCCGTGGGACAGGAGAGGGCAGAGAAGGCGAGGAGCATCACTGCTGCCAGTACTGAAATGCTTTGATCAGGGAATGGTGCTTCCCACGGGCACACGCGATGACAGCCCCAACATGCACCCTCAGTTTTGGAAGGATAGGGGGATGGCAAAACAACTGCATTGAGGCTTACTGCTTGAACTCTCTGCGTCATAATCGGTGGTGCTGCTGGCAGAATCGGTGGTGCTGCTGGCAGAATCGGTGGTGCTGCTGGCAGAAGCGGTGGCGTTGCTGGCAGCAATGATGCAGCGGGCGGACTTGACTGCCTTGCTAAGGGGGGACCTGGGCACGGGGAGGGAGGCACCGTGAGTGCAAGGTCGCTAGTCAGGTGGGGGGTGAAGGAACGGCGTTAAGAGCACAGAAGCAGATAGAATGAGAACGAAGAACGAAGGGCCTTGCCCCATGAGAACGAAGGGCTCACCTCTGCTCGCCTTGCGCGAGAGTGTCCACCGTCTTCCCCGTGCACTTGGACTTCTGGAAGAACTGAATCGCCGTGCAAGCAGTCTTGTTTCCCTTCAGCCACCACACCTGCATTGGCCTCTTCCCGCCGACGGCTAGCGAGGCTGGAATGGCGGCACAGCGGCGCGCGTTGAAGGTGCGAGAGCGGCCGCTGATCTCCATCCACGTGCCAACCACTGCGGCTGTTGCCTGGGACGCCTGCAGGGGACTCGCTGCAAGGATGGGAGCACGGGGAATGCCAAGGACGGAGTGAGGGGCCATGTTGAGTGGCATCGCGCGATTTATATCCATTTTCGTGTGAGCGATGATGAACGAGATGGGTACATGGGTGCATGAGCGAGTGACCGCACTGTGCATGAGCGAGTGACCGCACTGTGCATGAGCGAGTGACCGCACTGTGCATGAGCGTGACCGCTCATGGCATGAGCACACCGTAATGCGGCGTACCAGCGATAACGGCAATGATGGCGAGCAGCGCAAGCACGGCCTTGCCCTTCCCCATGCTGCTGCTTCCAGCGGACGCCACTATTGGCCGCGCGAATACTAAGAGCAAGCGCTGGTGGCTCGAGAATTGGGACGGACGGGGATTGATGCGGCAAAACAAATACACGGGGGGGAGCGGAGATGATGTGATGGGTCTACAGGCACCGCGCAGGGCGTTTGGTACTAACTAGGGCAGGCGAGGTTACGGCGACGCCCGCGGATCTTATACCGCGACGACAGCAGTTTTTGAGTGTGACTCGCAGAATGCGCGAAAGCGGGGTGTCTGTGACTGGAGATCATGCACACCGTCCCCGTCACGGGCGCGACGCCTTGGGCCGTGATCATCGCTGAGAAAGTCGCAGAGAACGCGTTCCTTGGCGTGGCGAAGGCTGTGAGGTGCGGGCGGACGCGAGCAGCCGATGGAGAAACAACAATTGGTCAGTGGCGATGTATCGCGTTATGTGGTGAACCAATCATGCTCAGGGCGTGTTGCATTTGGCGCTAACCGGAAGTTTGCCTCTCTTTGATCGAATTCTAGCCTTTTTGTGGTTCGACTACTAAATTGTATGAGGTTCGATAAACGATATTCGACCCTCATCGGGCTGCGATTAGAGCACATGGGTTACCTGGTATAACTTATGTGGCGCTAACGACGATTCTAAAAAATTGTAGCTTAGTCGTCGCCATGCTTCGCCTGTTCGTCCAGAAGTGAAGACGCTAAAAATAGAGTGTGAATGTCGAGTCGACTCTCGAAAAGTCGCATGGTACATTTACGAAATTCGCGAATTTTGTCACAATTACAAGCTCGACCTGTTCTTCGGCCCATATATTCAGATGCAACGGGCCCTTCTTTTGGTGTGCGATGGCCCAATAACCGGTGTGAAACGCGATACTCGACCGTGAAAGACCTGCATTATTGAAACGAGATGTAACATTAAATTTGGATATGTTCTATCCTCCAAGAAATACTTAGGACATATTTTAAGAAATATGAGTATGTACATTGATGGAGCTCCCCGCCTTACAGCCGCCATGGCCATGGCCAGATGCTTTAAGCAGCTCAATGTCTACCAATTTCTTGCCTGATCATACATTTGATGAGCTCTATCGATGCACGGCTTTAAGCTCAATACAATGGTGTCACTTTAGTGTTCAACAAGGGCACCTAAACACCAGTTATTTGGGTACCAGGCTAACGGCATTGCTACATCATCTTATCGGCCAAGTAAATGACTGCAGCTACTTGAATCAAGGTTTCTCATCAAGGCTCATGGATTCCATCACGCTAACATCAACAACGTCTCAAAAGCTCGCGCTAGTTTCAAGGTTGCATCATCTTCCCAAGGGCTGTTTTCGCAAGACCTTCCCAAGGGCTCGTCAAGCCTGGACCTGCAGCGGTTTGCTTTCAAGCATCGACGATATAAAAAGTCAAGTGTCTTAACGATTGTGCTCAGCTCAGCTCTTTTCTCAGCCGGTGCAAAGCTGACAAGCTTCAGTCATCATTGCACGATGGCGAAAGGACGACACAACAATGGCTGCAAGAAGGCTACTGACAACGAGCTTGACAATGAAGGCGAGATTGTACCTGACCTACATGTGAAGTCCAACGCTGGTCGAAGGAAGCCTGCCTCAGGATCTGCGACGGCGAATGTTGACGGTCCTTTCGAGGATCTCCTAGACTTGCAAAACAATGGTGATCAGGAAGAGGACTTGGGTGCAGATGCGGCCGAAGGTGGCGACGACACCCCTGAGAAGGCTGCGAATGAGGCTGCGGAAGACGGCGATCGTGAGAATGCTACAGCTGGGGACAATGAGCAAGACGCGGATGACTCACTATCGGCCATGGCTCCTGATGATGACGAGGATGGCTACCTGAGCGACGAGTCCGACGAATACCTGGAACCTGACTCGCTCAGCAGTTATCGCTCTTAAGCGTTTCTCACTAACTCTGTTGGTGCCGATTCACAAGAAGCCTGAAGTCACACGTGCGGCTGTCACGATTGCTGCGCTGCTGGATGACTGGAAAGAGCACCTTTCTCCAGACGCTCAGCAGACGACGACTTACCAAGAGCTATCGGCGTTGTATTTTTCTGGGAAGCGTTATGGTCGCCTGCAAGTTACGTTCAACCATGTCAGGGATGTGAACTTTGTGTGGAAGCAGGTTATCAACCACGAATGTCTGAACGGCGAATGCATTGAACTCACCTGGCAGCATCCGGAGGATGCGCGGTTCCTTCGCGAGCGCATCTTGAACCCGACGGCCAAGGAGGTTGTGCTAAAAGGGGTCCCGGCGGAGATCACGGCGGAGCTGATTCGCCGCCTTCTGGTGGTTTCGAAGTTTTTCAAGCGCGGCAGGAGTGCCTTTGCCAGCGGCTTTGGCTTCCACCGCACAGTCGACCCAGTCACAGGGATGGATACTGACCGTATTCGGGGTCTCGTCATTCCGCATGCTGCTGATGAGTACCGGTGGAGGTACTTTGTTGAAGATCCCGTCGACAGGGAAGCGGTACCTCATCCACTTTCCGTCACTCACGTGTGACTTCTATGGTGGTCAGCACATGTCACGATACTATGACCACTACATCACCCCGCGCCAGGAAAGTTTCGCCAACTGGAACCTGACAGTAAAATAGGTTCATGAGTTCAACGGTATAAGCTGCACATTTTCTTACTCACCGACACTGCAAACCTTACCGCTTGCTGTTGTTTTCTCTTCTTATACTGACGATCATCTGCTCGCTCCTCCCCGCAGCTGCATCTCTGAAAGCTTCAGATTTCCTGAAGCGGATCATGGAAGACCCTGCCGTGGTACTTACATCCACCGGCGTTGCGCGAAAGGAATGGGTTTGTGTTCAGACGATGTGCGAGAAGGTGTAGGGGAACCGGTGCGAGCAGGCTGCCGCCCATATCGCATCTGCCAGGCACAAGGGGGGGCTACGCAAGGACGGCACTGCAACGCGTGCCAGCGTGTACTCTTAGATGATGGCTGTCCTCAAGAAGGGGTTTATCGTAAAGCCGGCAACGAAGTAATCAGCGGCTCTGTCTATGCTCCGATGGCGGATCTGGAGGAGGGTGTAGCGAAGTCGATCAGGGTAGCAGGCTGTGTAGTTGGTGCAATGTTCTCATTCGCTGTAGCAGGCTGTATCATTGCAATGAAGCTCAATCGCCCGTGGATGCTGTGGGGCCAAACGGAGTGGATTAATGGATAAAAACAATAAGCTCACATTTCCCGAGCTCAACATCAACAGGCTCGGCAGTAACGGGAAGCAAGAGATGCGGGAAATGGATAAGGAAGGCGGCGGATGTGGTGGTTCTTACCGATACCAGGATTCTGGCTGATCATAACTTCTGGACTCAAGTCAGATCTGAGGCCCAGGCGGTGGTGTCGCCGTCGCAGAGGGCCGGGGGTGTTGCGGTGTTAGGATTCCTGAAGGGGATGAGATTCATAGAGGTGACTATGCATGAGTCAGGACGGCTCGTAAGCTTGGTGTTATCCTGGCAGGACCTACGGTGCAGTTTGGTGGCGGCGTATTTACCGGCGCAGGCTTCAACCAGAGGGGTTTTCTTCTGCGAGGTTTAGACTCCCTTTGTGCAGAGCCTGGGGTCGTCACAGTATACAATCCTCCTGGGAGACCTCAACATTGTAGCGGACCCTGAGTTGGACAAGTCCTTGAAGCTTGGCACAGCGGCGGAGAATCAGAGGCTCTTGCAGATCTGCTCGAGATGGGACCTGCAGGATGCTTTCCGCAGCCTCCACCTAACCCGAAAGGAGTTTACGTTCTTCTCGAGATCTGCACGGACGAGCATGGGGATTGACAGAATATTAATCTCCCACTCACTACTCGGCTGTGTCATCGATGCTCGGCACAAGATGGTCCCTTACGGTCTGACGGATCATTGGTTTGCGGTGGCGGTGACGGTCAAGTCAGCTGCGTCGGAAGGGAATGGCACGGGCCTCTGGAGGCGGCAGGCTCCTCAGGCAAGCGGGATGGTACCAGGTGGATAGTCTCGGCGGTGTTGGGTAAGCAGGCGGAGCATCAGGCCCAAGGTTTGGAGCGGCTGATAGTGAACCTACGAGCATGCATGAGGGCACACGTGGCTGAGGAAAGGAAGAGGGTGAAGGCTACCATTCAGCATCTGGAAAGGAAGAAAGCTTACGATGGAGGGTGATGGCGGAGCCGCTGGCTCAAGACGTATACGAGGAGTTGGTGAAGAATGAGGTGGCTCTGAAGCTGTATCAGGACAGCAATAGGGAGCGGCTGCAGATCGGGCTGATGATGGAGCTGGTAGAAGAGTCCCCGTCAGGTTTCTTGTCGGGCCTGGTCAAATCACGAAAGGCAAAGACGGAGATACATGAGCTCCTTTTCAGCGGAAAGCATTGTAAGGGTGCGAGAGAGATTTTGAAGGCGGCATCAAAGTATTTCAGTGAAGCATATGCGGCCTCACCACAGCTAGAGCCCACCGAGCCGTGGCCAGTTGAGGTCGGACGTAAGTTACAGGAGACGGACCGAGGCAAACTCAGCACACCATGGACGGAACAGGAGGTGACGGAGGCGCTTAGGGGTCTCCCCTCTGGAAAGGCTCCAGGGGAAGACGGGTTGCCAAAAGAGTTCTTCGAACGGAACTGGGACTTGCTGGGGCCGGCGGTGATGAGGGAGGTCAAGGCTTTCGAGAAAACGGCGGTGTTCTCGGAAGCTTTCACGACGGCAGTGACCATACTCCTACATAAGAAAGGGGACAGAGCGGTGTTAAGCAACTACAGACCAATTACACCCTTAAGCTTTTTCTACAAGCTGCTGGCGAAGGTGCTGGCGAATAGAATCAAGAAGGTGCTTCCGCGGGTGATCTCTCTGAACCAATTCGGTTTCCTCCCTGGCAGAAGCCTGAAGGACGCTGACTCTCTGGTTGCAGACGTAATCGATGCGGCGGCGGAAGAGGACGAGGACTGGCTGCTACTGCTCGTGGATTTCTAGAAAGCCTATGACTCAGTGTCCCGCGAATACCTGTTCAGGACACTGGGGGACATGGGCTTCCCGACGGAGTTCACGGCATGGGTGAAAGGGTTACATGACGGCGCGGCCACAAAGCTCCTGCTCGACGGTTGGCTGGGGGAGCGGGTGGAGATGCAGAAAGGCGTGCGGCAAGGCAGTCCGCTCGCCCCCTATCAGTTTCTGTGCGTGGTCGAGCCACTCTGCCAGAAGTTGGAAAGGAGAGGTTTGGGATAAAGAAGAGGGGAATCGGGTCAATGACATACATGGGCTATGCCGACGACACTACGTTGGTGCTAAACGGAAAAGAGCAATTGATACAGGCGAAGTCCCTACTCGATGACTTTGCATCGATCTCGGGCTTGAAGGTCAATCAGGAGAAAACGACTCTGATGCCGCTTGGGAAGAACCGAAGTCGGGTGCAGCCAGACGACTCACCTTTCAGCTGGGCAGCGAAGGGAGTAGCTGAACGGCTGCTCGGGGTGTGGATAACATCGGGCGGCTCACCAGAACCAGCGTGGGACAAGGCGTTTGAGCGCGTGAGTGCGGTGCTGAGCAATTGGGCATCAAAACACCTGAAGACCTCGGCTCGCGTCACCATCATCAACTGCTACGCGGTGCCGATACAGCTTTTCCAGGCGCAGATCTACGCCCCGCCGCAGGACATTTGGAAGAAGGTGAAGAGGATGTGTCACAGTTTCATCACGGACGGCAAGTCACTCTTCGACAGGCATTTCTTCTTGTGGAGCTATGAACTGTCCTGTCGAGAGCAGAGAGAAGGGGGCCTGGGGGTAATCGACCCAAAGCACAGGATAAACAGTACAGTCATCCAGAATTTGGGGAAGGTGGTGGCAGAGCAGGATCCTTTACTCAACTGGCTGTGGAAGAAGGCTGCGGGTTTCCCGCTAGGCCAAGCCACGGTTTACGCGCACCCGTCGATCTTGAAGCACTGGCTGAAAGGCGGGGTCAGATGGAAGGCCACGCTGCAATCACTGTGAGAATCCAAGATAGTAACGGTGGAATCCGAAGAACAGATGGGATGCTGAGAAAGAGGAGCTGTATTTTAATCGCAGTATTTTCTTCAGGGGCAAATCTCCTTTTGGTGGTCAGAAAGGGTCTCTCTGCCTCGAAGGTGTCAAGCTGGGGGACCTGCTGAAAGAAGGGGCGGACGGAAGCAGAGAGTTAAAAGACGACGCCACACTGGAGAGGGAATTGGATGGGGAAGACTAGCGGAAGTGGGCAACCAAGGCATGGGAAGCGATACTGAGGAAGTGGAGAGACATGGTGCTTAAAACACTGACGGCGGAAGAAATTCTCATGGCTACTAGCCTGATCCGTACTGCGTCATACCGGCCAGGGGAGGTGCTGTACTACAATTTGGAGAACGCGGTGGACGGAGTGCTGTACGGCAGGAGGGTGGAGGTTGACAAAAAGAGTTTCATCAGCCCGGTAAAGTACGTTGACACGAGGATTGATGACACCCAAAGGGCAGACCCCATGGTGGTGCTCGAGGGAAGAGTACGAGGGGAGCTGGGGGCCCCAAGGATGAGATTATTACGCTCGCAGATCTGTGACAGAGGGGAGCGTGCTGAGCAGAAGCAGCTGAGGAAGGCTATGAAAACCCCAGCGTCTCAGCCAAAGCAACAACTGTAGTGGGAGGAGACACTGGGGAGGAAGGTTGATTGGGGGAAGGCCATCCGAGTCAGAGACTCGCTCACAACCCCGAGCAAGGCGAGGGAAATCATCCTGAGGACGCATAGCAACAATTTGCAAATGGGCAAAAGGCTGCCCTTCCTGGGAGCAAGAGCACTGTGCATACACTGTGGAGCCGTCGAAACACAGGAATGAAAATACAACCGGTGGTAGGAATGATGAAGGCAGCCATACAGTGGATGAACTTGGGCAGGCAAGTGGAATCCCTCGGAGACATGCTGTTGCAGGATGGCAGCACGTCGACGGGATTTCCGGAAGCAACTCTGATTTCAGCCACTGCGCACCAAGTCTGGTTGGAGAGGTGTAACGCGATATTCAGAGGCAGCCGTTTCCAGCCAAAAAGAGCATTGCGGCGGATTGCGGTTGGCTTCACAAGGCATGTGAAGATATACAGCCGGGCTCGGAAACACGCGGCACACAGAAAAGGGACGAATGCCAAGGGGGATTGGAGCCACCTGGAAGCTGACGAGGCAAATGTCATGCGGAGGCTGTTCGAGTCGGAGGCCTCGATGATGTGGCGAGCGGGTTTCAAAGTAGTATGGGAAGACCGGGGAGTTGCCTTCCAGCCACCATAGAGGGGAGGAGGGGGGTGGGGTTACTTCTCTAGTAGCTTTCTCGACACCCTCCTAGCTCTAGTTACGACTGAGGATGTATGTATACGTGTAGTGTACTTATATCCACAAAAAAAAAATAATAATAAGAAGTTGTGCAATTGGGTGAGTGAGTGAGAGTTTGACTATAGAAGCAAAACAGTAAAGGAACGAAGACATGAGTGAATTGTTATATAGATGCAAATAACATAAAATTCATTACTGTAGACATCCCTTAGCGAGGACTTTTCGAAGACTTGGGACTTTTCTCACATTTTAGGATTAGATCATTTGGGATATTAATGGGACACAACACAACTACAAAGAGATCTTGGTTTAGTTGTTTGGCTAAGTGGGGCTAAATTGTACAGCCTAGGGTGTTTTTTTATGTGCCACTGCTACATACCACACGCGTTGTACTGCGTACTAATACTGTACGTGGATGTGGTTCTAATTATTGAACAGAATTCATGGTGCACCGCAACATCGGTACACTTTTGTAGCAGCACGAGCGGCTGAGAGGGGCTGTGGGCAGCTGCGAGCGCCGAGCATGCGGGTGGACTGCGCTGGGCGCAACTGTGCGCTCCTGTTAGCTGGAGCTGCTGCATGCAATGCAGTCGTGCACTGCTGCATGCGCTTTGTAGGCAGCAGTAGGTGCTGTGATGCGTGGAGCTGCGGTTGTAGGACGCTATGGTGGCCGGCTGGGAGCTTACTAGCGCGAGAAGTTGGCATGCGCTGCGCGGCTGCTGCGATAGCGATTTTTATAGCCTCCCCGTGGCTTATTGCCGAGAAATTGTGGTACTCACTATCCAACTATGTTATGTAGTTTAGAAAGGCTATAGTGGATGGAATTTTAGGGGGTACACAAACTCTCTCGATAGTCTTCGTGTACCCCTTTACCCTAATGACATCAATCTCCTACCTAACTCGTAGTAGTTAATCTTCCATATCTTGAGATGGTATCAGCTAGGTTACTCCGAGGCCTTCGCCCCGTAACACTCCGTGACGCCCCGTGACGCATGTTAAGCCCCATGACGCCCTTCAACGCCACAATACGCGCTGCCCCCCCGCTTGCCCCCTAAAATCCCGACATGCACGCGCAACTTCGCACTGGACCCGCCGCCGTGCACCGTGAAATTGAAGTCGCGCGCACTGAAACCCCAGCTGCGCGCCCTGTCCACCTTGCTCGAGCCCTACCCCATCCTGTGCTGCACCCTGCCCTGCCGCCAGAGCGCGTAGCCACACGAACGACGCTTCGTACACGACGCCGCGCACGAGCAGACACGCGCAGCAGCTGTACGCGCCGCGCAGCTCCCTACGCATTCTGAGCCGCGCGCGCAGCAGCAGCAGCTACACGCATAGCTGCCCGTGCACTAGGAACCACGCGTGCAGCAGCAGCAATTGCACGTACCTCAGGTACCGTACTTGACCGCTCTCCACTGCACTCGACTGCACCCAACCGCACTCAACTGCACTCGACCACACCCGACCACGCTAGACCGTACTCCACCCCACCCGTACCTACTATCTAACACCAGCCTACTACCATAGGCATTCCTAACGGCGGCTGGCAGCCGCAGCCGACTCTCCTCGTTACGTTTAGTGTTCGTGTCTCATTCGGACAACCGCTCTATGCCTTGTACCTCTCATATAACCAGCCTGTCATGGCTCGTTCCGTTTGCTTTGCCTCCACTCGCTCCTAGCGCCTAGCATGGCATCCTCTCCAGTTTTACGTTTCGACGCCGAGGATCGTCCGATCGAGTTTAACACGTGGCTTACCCATGCCCAACACCACCTTAGGAGTCTACGTAGGGACGGCGCCAACCTCTTTGCTCATGAGACTGGCACTCATGCGTCTGGCATACTCCGGGCCCCTCCGCGCCCTAGTTCCTTACCTTCTATGCCTCCACCCATTGCTGATCAGTAGGCTGTTCTTGGCGCATGACGTACGGGAGTCCCGCGACGCCGCTGCTAGCAACGCCCTCATTCACCTTCTCCCGCTGACTGAGGCAGTCCACTTCTCACAGTGAGACTTGGCAATGGACATGTACAACGCTATTTTTGCTCGCTATTGCACCCCTTCCTCTGCCTCCCTCAGCTGCCTCCTTATACACTTTGTGTTCCCTGACCTGAGCTCGTTCGAGACTGTCTCCGCCCTTGTTACCCACCTGCGCTCTCTTGACACTAGCTTTCGTGCTGCCTGCACTGAGGATCAGCTCAAACTTGCCCCACCGCCTATGTGGCTTACCCTCCACTGGTTGGTCTCTCGCCTCCCTGGCCGCCCTCTCCTCTGCCCGCGACGTGCTACTCCTAAAGCACCCCACTGAGCTCACCATTGATCTTCTTGGGTCTACTCTCGCTAAGACCGAGAGAAACCTCCTCGTTGTTGCCGCTGCCACTGCTACAGTACCTCCCCGTCTCTTTGATGGTTGCGCTGCACTCTAGCTTCCCGTGTTCGCTGCTTCTCTTGCCGCTGCTTCGTTTTCTGGCTCTGAGGAGACCGCAGTGATTTCTTTCACTAGTGGGCAGAAGCGGGGTAAAGGAGGTAGGAGAGGGGGGAAGGGTGGTGGTGGTGGTGGTGGTGGTGGTGATGGTGATGGTGGTGGTGGTGGCGTCATTGGTGGTCCAGGTGGTGGTGGAGGTGGTGGCGTTGCTAGTGCGTCTAGTGGAGGCGATACTGTG